AGAGAGAGAGAGAGAGAGAGAGAGAGAGAGAGAGAGAGAGAGAGAGAGAGATCTTGGCAATAGAGAATCTGAGAGTCTTTGCTATGGCAACACAGCAGACAGGAAATGGGGCCTACCGAGTTGCACCGTCTTGTTATTGTTATCCACGCGTCTTTGGACCTACTTGATCAAACTAAAATTATGAAACATTTTGTTACTTGATGATTATGAGATATGAACTAGACTACTTTAGTGAAAACGATGTCAGAAGCAAATGTTAGATCTAGATCTACCTAACATTGATCGGAATTTGACAACGTCATAAATATGGAGTCAAATCCTAGGAGGTTTATTCTAGAAACTGAGAAATCTTCCACAATTCAGGCAGTGAAGCGGTGAAAAGTAGGTAATTAGAAACGATTGCTACTAGTTCTGGTGTTTCAAATAGCACAGGGCTAATCAGAGCACGGCGTTTCAAATAGCGTGGGACTAATCAGAACTCAGCGTGTTAAATAACGCCGGCCAAAAAAAAAAGAAACGATAACTGAAATCTCGTTCGCTCTCACCCTTAGCCCCACCCAGAGACCGGTATTTATAATCCTTGGCCTCACCAAGGAGTTTATTCTCCTTGGGCCCAACCTATAGTTGCAATAAGCACAGTCAACCAATGGCATACTTCCCTTTCATCAAACAATTATTCGAGAAAACTTTTTTCGGCTGGCCCTAGGCCTTCTCAGTATGGCTTAGGGCTCACCGTACACTCAGGGCGGCAGGCATTGGTCAAATTAATTTCACACCTTTGGCCTCGATTGGCTACCGAGGAAAGTTTCCGGGCTGTAGCGCCCCTCGAGCATTTTCACAAGCAGTTGTGAGATTTCACACCGACACCGCCCTGACCATCTGCACTGTTGAGGGCTCACATGGATGGGGTAAAATCTAGGTAAGAGGCTAGCCGTACTTAATGACAGAATTGTAAATGAAATTTTTAGTTTGCAAAGCCTAAAGTATTTGTATTTCAGACAAAACCAAAAGGTGCCTTACTGATTTGCACTATTTAAACCTGAATAACTTCTAGATCTAGATATAATGAGACCTGTGTACTCAACAGGTTCGAGTCGATAGGGCCAAACCTAGATCTAAGTACGGCTAGACTTTCAGGTAGTAAGAACCTCTATAGGAGGGTACCATCTAGGCGATCTAAGATAGCCTTGGATAACATCTCTTTATACAGTATGCATTGCCTGTGGGTCACCGGGAGGCGGGCGGTCATGGCAATATTGTCTTGTACACATTGTATAGGGCATGGGGTATGTTACTTTTCTTTGGTGAAAGTCCTCTCAGAAAGAACACTACGCCTCTGTTTCGTATGTACATTGTACATGCATTCTGGGCTGGAGTACCGTTGAACAAAGCGTTAACTACTTCTACGCCGGTTTCTAGTTTCTACCAATATCCCATGCCTTGCATGTATTGTTCTGTCATAAAGAGGAGGAGGAGCAGGAGGATGAGAAGAAGAAGAAGAAGAAGAAGAAGAAGAAGAAGAAGAAGAAGAAGAAGAAG